CATTTCCAGTGAACTCAAACACGTACGCCAAGCTCTTAAGGCAAATGGTTACTCCGACTATACAATCCGCAAAGCCATCACTCCAACCATCAAGAAGGATCCTGTTGAGGAGCCTTTCAAGACCATCACCTTACCCTACATTGCTGGGGTCACAAAAAAGATCTCCAAAATCCTGATTAAACACAAGATCCAGGTCCGATTCAACACAGTACATAAAATCCGTGATCTGGTACCGTCTGTAAAAGATGTGGTTCCAGACATACAGTACCCTGGCGTCTACAAACTAAGTTGCCTCTGTGGTAGCAGTTACATTGGGGAAACCAAACGACATGTCTCGGACCGCATCCGTGAACATAAAGCTGACCTGAAACACGGTAGGACAAACACCTCAGCCGTGGCAGATCACTGTTACAACTCAGTGGGCTCACATGATATTGACTTCTCCAAGACAGAGGTTCTCTGCAAGCCATCTGGCTATCATGAGAGATTCGTTCATGAGGCGATCCACATATACAAACACAGAGACAATTTTAACCGAGAAGATGGATTCTGGCTCAGCAATCATTGGAAGGACGTAATAAACCATTTCGATACACATTAGGGTGTGTAGAATAATACATAGTGTTATATTAAATGTATAAGATATAGGTTGGTTTACAGCAATACAGTATATAATTTAATGTTGGGTTTATCTATGGCAGTATATAGTACGGTATATGCTCGTGTGATGTAAGAGAATAAGGTTTAGATGGAAGCATATTATAGAATTTTTACGAGGTAGAATTGTAATGTATTACTTGCTGTTAGTAACTCAGCTTATTATAGAGTATAGTAAGTATACTGATGGTGCGATGCAGTTTATACTTTAGTTTTTTATGTAGTTTATACTTTAGTTTTCTACGTGGTTGTTGAGTAACTGCAGCTACATATCATTAACATTCCTTTCCTTTGTTACTGCTAATCCCTGCACCCCCCTTGGTTGCTGCTGATCCTGCATAATGCATGGGCATAATATGACTTTGACACCCCCCCGCCCAACGCCTACGCATTTTCCATGAATATGCTAAATTCCTCTTCACATGCACATTCTTTTTGTTAAGGCGCTCTTCAACCCCCAATGCAGCTTATATATAAGCTCCTAGTTTGGTAGTGTCTCATTCTTCACCTGAAGACGGCTGCTTGCGTTGTAGCCGAAACGTCGTGAGAATTGTTTTATTATGTTTTATTTTTATTATTTTATTACTTCCCTTCTACGTGACTTTACCGAAAGAAACAAGAAGATAGTATCATAGAATGCAGAGCATGCGCTGGCCAGATTACTCCATCGCTAGATTGTGAAAGGTGCCAGTGGCTCGAGAAGGGAGGCCTTCATCCAACAGTGGATAGATAAGAATGCTCTAAATGTTTATACATAGATAGACAGGCAGGTACACAGACAGGATCTCAGAAAGACATTCTGATAGAAACACACACATACACACGGGTAGGCAAGCAGATGCACACCCAGGTAGACAGGTAGGCAACAGGCACATGGATGGAGAGTGGAGAACACACGTTCACCTCATACTTCACCGCGCGAGTCGAGGGACCCACACTTACCTCCATGGCAGTGACTTGCAGAGCAGCGTTGTGTACAGAGCTCACGTCGTTCCTGGCGTCGTCCGGGTCTCTGCGTGGAGAGCGGTGGAGAGCGGGGGAGAGAGGAGAGGGTCACGCAGAGTCGAGGGTGTGTGACGTAACTGGTTCCCATGTCACAACACGAATCAGGTCACAGCACGGACTCACATCATCAACACCGACTCTGATCAGCACGGTTGGCTATGTACTGTGCGAAAGAAGTTCAACATACATACATCACCATAAACCCAGATGAATAACATGGGCTTGCCTCATCAATACGGACTCACATCAACACGAACTCACATCATCAGCACGAACTCACATCATCAGCACGGACTCACACCATCACCACAAATCCACAGAAACAACATGGACTCACATCATGACCATTAACCTACGTAAATATCATGGACTCGTATCATCAATACGGACTCATACACTCAACATGAAACCACATCATCAGCAATAACCCACAATCGGCATGAATCCACGTAACCAACACAGACTCACATCTTCACCATGAACCCACATCATCAACACTGACTCACATTTCGAATTAAAGCTTTCGTGACTGCAGGGATTCGTCTTCTTGGATCTTTCGGTAAAGTCACGTAGAAGGGAAGTAATAAAATAATTAAGAAAATATATTTAGTATACTGATGATACTATGTAGTTTATACTTTCGTTTTTTACGTGGTTGATTAGTTACTGCAGCTACATACTATTAACATTCCTTCCCTTTATTAATGCTACCCCTATCCCCTCCCTTTGATGCTGCTAATCCTGAATAATGCACGGGCATAATATGACTTTGAAAACCCCCTGCCCACCTCCTACGCATTTCACAAGTAGTACTAATCACATACCTGCATTTCCCATAAATATGCTAAATTCCTCTTGATATGCAAATTATTTTGTCAAGGCGCCCTTCCCCCCTTCCAACCCAGCTTAAATATACGCTCCAAGCGTGGTGGTGTTTCATTCAGACGCTGTCTCCCCGACAGACCTGGTCTTCACCTGAGGACGGCTGCTTGCGTTGTGGCCGAAACGTCGTGAGAATTGTATTTTATTATGTTTTATTTTTATTCTTGTATTACTTCCCTTCTACGTGACTTTACCGAAAGAACCAAGACTGACTCACATCTTCACCATGAACCCACATCAACACAGACTGACACCCTCACCGCGAACCCACGACACGGACTCACACCCTCACATAATCCTCACCTCGTCGAGGCTCGCTCCGATGGCTTCAGCTGCTGCACGATGTCGTCTCTCCGCGCCTCTCGATCGCCGCCTTTCGCCCAAACTGCCAGAGGCACGTGGGGGGCGGGGCCAGGAAACCACGCCCTCCGTGACGTAACAGTCCGGAGCTCCTCCCCCTCAGCACCTTCCCCCCCCCTATGCCCCCCTCCCTCCACTAACACCTCCACGAAAACAGACCACTACTAACACCACCACTAACAACCCCACCACTACTAACAACAACCCCACCACTAGCACCACCACTAACAACAATCCCACGAACACCACTACTAACAACAACCCCACGACCACTAACACACCACCACTAACGCACCACCACTAACGCACCACCACTAACGCACCACCACTAACGCACCACCACTAACGCACCACCACTAACGTACCACCACTAACACACCACCACCACGAACACCACCACCACTAACGTACCACCACTAACACACCACCACCACTAACACACCACCACCACTAACACACCACCACTAACGCACCACCACTAACGTACCACCACTAACACACCACCACCACTAACACACCACCACCACTAACACACCACCACTAACGTACCACCACTAACACACCACCACCACGAACACCACCACCACTAACCCACAGCGGAGATCCACTCCTCCTCAGCTGATCTCCACTCGCGGCGGCTGCTGCTGCTCTCCGCACCTCTCTACCGCCGCCTTTCGCACAAACTACCATAGGCAAGTGGGGGGCGGGGCCAGGAAGCCACGCCCTCCATGACGTCACTATCTTTCAACTCCTCCCCCCTCCAGCCCCCTCCCCCATACCCCCTCCCCCGCTGCTACTTCCGCTTCCGCCGGGGCGAGTGGCGCCAACTTCTGAAGCGGTTCGCTGTCTGGGCCTCCTCAGGGTCGACTCAGCCTGAAAGTGAGAACCTCGCGTGGTGTGGACACCTCAGCAGTGGTGGGGGAGAGACAAAGGCGGCCCACAGCCGCAAGCTTCTAAACAGCTATTGGGCTCACGGCATCGGTTCAAGCAGAGCCCGGCTCTGCTGCTGCTGCTGCTGCTGATGAGGCACTGAAAGTGGAAACCGGCCCAGAGTGGCGCTCGAGTTGAGCCATTGCTGCTGATGAGAGGCACTCCCAGACGGCCGTACGGCTGATGGGATGAGTCAAAGAGACTTTGCTTCATCTCTGCACGGAATGATTTATTGTGGAGGCCAATCGCCTGCTGGCGGAATGGGCCTCCACTAGAGGCCGCTAAATAGGGTATTTGGTCTACTCTTCCACGCTGGTCTACACGTGTTGGAGCAAGGTGAGCGTACCCACCCTTTACCCCAGCACGTGCGGCAGAGGTGCAGGTTCCATTCCATCGCCCACACACCCACCCCACCCACCCACCAACTCACCAACTCACCACTCTCACCCATCGACTCACCCACACAGTGACACGCGGAGACACACGGAGACACACAGGGACATAGAGCCTTGACACAGTGGTTGTGTCGGCGGTGTCAGAGTAGCAGGATCAATGTGGTGGTTGAGGTTTTAGTTGTGGTTTAGGTGGTTATGTTGGTTATAGTGCTTTTGGTTGTGGTTAAGTGTGGTTGTGTAGGTGGTGGATATTATAGTTGTGGGGGTTATATTTTTCGTGGCAATAGTTGTGTACGTGGTGGTTGCGGTGGTCATGGATATAGTTGTTATAGTTGAGGTTGTGGTGGTTGTAGTTATAGCTATGGTGGTTGTGTTATGGTTGTTGTGGTTATGCTTGTGGTTATAATTGTGATTGTTGTTGGTGGTTGTTGTGGTCAAAGTTGTGATGGTTATGTTATGTTTTTGTGGTTATATTTGTGATGAAGGTGGTTATGTTGGCTGTCATGGTTGTTTATGTATGTGTAGGGAGCGGTAGAGTCGCGGTCAACACGCCGCGCTACAAACCCGTGGACACAAGTTCGATTCCCGCTCACGGCCAACACCAGTGACGATCATCTGAACCAGTCCAGGGCCTCCCCTACGTCGACTCTGCCTCAAATGAGTACCTGTTGCTGTGTGTAATAAACATCGCCACTCGGGAGACAAAGACGGTCGGGTATGGGGCTTTCCACCCACCCGCTTGTGTGCCACACTGCCGGCCTCCATAGGTGCTCGCTAACAGCACTTGCCCCGACAGTCTGTTAAATTCTGTACGGGAGATTTTTTTTATTTTGTCTTTGTAGGTGTTGAACTTCTTTCGCACCGTACGTAGCCACTTGTGCTAACCGGAGGTGTGGTTATAGTTGTAGTGGTTATGTTATGGTTATAGTTGTGATCATATTATGGTTGTGGTTATAGTTGTGTCCGTAGTTTTCGTGCATAGAATTGTGGTTTTATATTATGGCGATAGTTGTGGGTGTGGTTATAATTGTAGTTGATGGTTTTGGTTACAGTTGTGGTTATATCTGTGGTTCTAGTTGTGGATGAATTTGTGGTTCTAGTTATGGTTATATTTGTGGTTATAGTTGTGATTATGTTCGTGGTTGAATTTGTGGTTCTAGTTGTGGTTTTAGTTATGGTTGTTGGTTGTGGTGGTTCTACTGGCGCAGATGGTGGGATGGAGGACACCTTCTGGGTCCTCTGCCCATGCGGTTCCAACAGCGATGGCTCCAGCCGGCACTGTTGCCCCTGTGCTATGTGAGTCACAAAACCTTGCCTTGCAGTCATTTTAGGAGCCCTCGCCTTCTCCAACTTCATTTGCAGCGTACATAGCCAATCGTGCTAACCGGGGGTACATTAAAACCTCGCCACAAAAGCCCTGTTGCTCGTGAGCTTAGCGACTCAAATAAATCAGGTGCTAGGTTTGCATGATTAATGCTTACAAATCGGGGTCCATAATGATGAATATGGCAGGTCGAGTTCTATCCATTTAAAACCAAACGTGTTTTTTACTAACCAGATTACAGGCGGTGCGTTCGACACCATTTGGAATGCGCTGTTGCGATGTGCTGTTCCTTTGAAACCATTATCAACACTGAGAAACCCACACAGTGATTTCCTTGATTGAAACAATGCAATGTTTGTTATCGAAACCACTATTGGCTCCCATAACACGTTTTTTACACGCAGAATCCAATAGTGGTCACTGTTGGACCAGAACCAGAAACATTACCATCTGCACATGGAGGCATCTTTCAATCATATATTTTTCACAGTTGGGAAAACATGTACGACATTAAGGAGATATTTGCCAGCATATTCTACTTAATCACTGTACGCGATGATGACAAATGTTGCATTTCTCAATCGTCAATAATTGTTGCACCAAGCTCAAAGGAACCCAATCTGGATGTGTCATGACGTTCACTGTATGCACAGGCATTGTCGGAAACTGTTGCCATACTTCAGACAAGACAGCACACATTCAGTTGTCTTTTTAAAACCTGCACCATCTGAAGAACCAAAGTAGGACGGTGCTCTTCTGGAGCAATATTTAAAGGAAGTCGGTTGTTACTGCCGCTAACCCTGAGCCCAAGTTCTTGTGGCCTGGCTTTTGGGTGAGTTTGCAGTCTCCAGCCAGCCAGAGAATCAGCAGCCACAGATTTTCCAATAAAACCTTGTTTCGGTTTGATCCACCGAACAATATCCACTGACCACACCACAAGTAAAGCAATAATGTAACTGAACAAAAATACGAATAAATTAGGACGGTTTATTAAATGCATTGTATCCAAGGAAATATGTACAGCAATAGACAAAATATATACAGAAATAGACTAAAAATATTTACACTAATAGACTAAAAATGTGTATCACGGGGGGAGGGTGGGTGGTGTGGTGATAGCAGTCGTGGTTTACACAAATGTACGACCACCACCACTACCACCCCTACTGTGGGGTGGACCGGCCACCGCACAGTAGCACGCGGCGGAGGAGTGAGCGTATTGCTCTCCCCACACGAGCCATGCACCCTCGCTTCTTATTCATTTCCTTCATCTCCTTTTCCTCCTCCAACTTCTCAAACACCTGCACCATCATCTCCTCCACTACCATAATTCCCCCCTTATCCGGCTCCTCCGTCTCCTCCGTCTCCTCCGGCTTATCCTCCTCCAGCTCCTCCTCCGGCTCCTCCTCCTCCTCCGGCTCCTCTTCCACCGTCTCCTCCGTCTCCTCTTCCTCCTCCACGTCCGTCACCTCATTCTCTAACTTCTCAACCTCCTGCACCATCATCTCCTCCACCACCATCTTCTCTTCCTCCACCATATTTCCCCCCTTATCCATCTCCTCCTCTGTCTCCTGATCCTGTTCCTCCGTTTTCTCTTCCTCCTCCACCTCAGTCTTTTGGTCTCCCTCATTTTCCACCACAACCTCTGTTTCCTCTTCAGAGGTCTGGGCAAGTGAGGTGGGCTGCACCGGTTTCACTCTGTGAAGACACACGCACGACACGACTCCACCTTTTGCTATGACAGAGATTGCAGTCACCTCCCCATCTCCCGTTGGTGTGGCAGATTAAACCGAGCTTAATAACAATGAAAAAATTGAGTACGTTTCATGTCAGAGCTGTCATTCTGATGGGACAAGATTATCACGAAGGAATGTACCACTGTGTCTCATACAGTCTGCTGTAGTGTCACAGTAGCAGGCAGCGTTGCTTTGTAAATACAACTAAGTAATTTGTCATGATTTATTTTTGTTTTCATGATATATTCTAATTGGGGCAAATATGACCCCTGGCACACAATGGCCTACTCGTTTTGAACGAACTTAGGGGAGATCTTCAACATCCACTGCAAAGGAGAGGGTGCATCATGTCTTGACATCCCGTCATGGCAGTAATAACCATCAAGAGTGCTGCCGCTGGGCCGCATCACCCATGCACGATTGTTGTAAAAATATCTGATGGTGATTCGTGTTAGATAAAGCTGCCCATCTTGACTTCGATGGTATCTCAGAGTGCTTTACAACGCAATGAGGCACTTACATATCACATCTCGCACCTCAACGCATTTTACGGTGAATGAAGGGTTAGATCAGGGGTCCTCAAACTTTTTAAACAGGGGGCCAGTTCACTGTCCCTCAGACTGTTGGAGGGCCGGACTATAGTTTTAAAAAACTATGAACAAATTCCTATGCACACTGCATATATCTTATTTTGAAGTGAAGAAACAAAACGGGAACAAATACAATATTTAAAATGAAGAACAAGTAAAGTTACATCAACAAACTTGCCAGTATTTCAATGGGAACTATGGGCCTGCTTTTGGCTAATGAGATGGTCAATGTCCGGTTCCATATTTGTCACTGCTAGTCGTAACAAGTGATGCAAGTGTGCATCCGTTAGTCTAGATCTGGTTGGAGATTTCAAATGTTTCATTCTGGAAAAAGTCTGTTCACAGACATAAGTGCTGCCAAAGATGGTTGCCATTTTGAGTGCATGGTTCCTGAGATGAGGATATGTCTCAGAGGGGAGAAATGCATAGAAATTATGAAGGCTGCTTGACTTGAATGCGTCTTTCAGAGAGTCACAATTCTGCAGTTCAGCCAGTTCCATTTGGAAAAATTGTATCCACATTTTCAATGTCAATAGAAAATGGGTTACGGAAAGCTGTATGTCCTGTTCATGGAGATGAAGCTCTTTAAATCTAAATTGGAACTCCTTTTGCAATTTTTCCAGTGAATCCACACGTGTTTTGTTTGGGAATGCAACCAATGGTTTTTCCGCTAACATATTTTGAGTTGTGGGGAGATGGCAGAAGTTTTCCTCCTTCACTTGTCTGATGAGGAGGCCTAATTTTACTTCAAATGCTTTGACATGTAATTGCATATCACAGATGAGCTTCCCCTTTCCTTGAAGTTGCACATTGAAACTGTTGAGTAGATCTGTTACATCTGTCAGAAAGGCAAGGTGCCATTTCCATTCTGCATCATTGAGCTCTGGTACTTCTTTGTTTTTTGAAAGCGGAAAAGCTGTAATCTGTGGAAGTAAGTCATAGAAACGTTTCAAAACTCTCCCTCGACTCAGCCAACGGACTTCTGTGTGGTACAGAACATCTTCATAGTCAACATTTAGCTCAGACAGAAATTCCTGAAATTGCCTGTGGTTTAGTGCATGAGCTCTAATGAAGTTAACACAAGATACCACAAATTTCATAACAGAGTCCCACTTCAGTGATTTACTACACAGCGCTTGTTGGTGGATGAGGCAGTGTATGGCTATTGGATGAGAATGGTTATGTTTGTCCATCTCTTGGTTAATGCGAGCAATTACTCCTTTCTTAGACCCCACCATGCTAGGAGCACCATCAGTTGTCACACTGGCTAGTTTAGCCCAGTTCAGCTCCAAACCATTCACAGTTTGGCAAACCTTTTCATAGATATCCTCTCCTGTAGTTGTTCCTTTGATGCTTTGCAGTGCAGCAAGCTCTTCTGTGACTTCGAAATAGTCATTCGTCCCACGAATAAAAATTAGAAGTTGTGCAGAATCACGAACATCATTGCTTTCGTCGAGTGCCAAGGAAAAAAAGGAAAGTTTTTTTGTGGATTTTTGCAAATGCTGATGGAAATTGTCTCCCATTTCTTCAATCCTCTGTGTAATTGCAGGTCCTGAAAGACTCACTGTACTAAATAAATCGGCCTTCTCTGGACACATCTCTTTGGCAACAGAAAGAAGGCATTTTTTAACAAATTCTCCCTCCACGAATGGTCTGCCAGTGCACGCTATTAGCTTGGCAACTTGAAAACTTGCTCGCAGTGATGAAATATTTAGCTGCTTCTGCTTCACAAAAGTATTTTGCTGAGTTGTTAATGTATTTTTCAGTTTTAATATTTTATATTTTCTCACTTCTCCGACCAAACAATCATATTTATCTTCATGTTGAGTTTCATAGTGTCGACGTAAATTGTATTCTTTGAACACATACACTATATTCTGGCATATCAGACACACAGCTCTTTCCTTGTACTGCATGAAAAAGTAATCATAAGTCCACTGTTCTTTGAATATCCTACACTCCGAGTCAATTTTTCTCTTTCTTGACATCATTGTTTCCTAGGGAGTCAAAATTGCTATTAGTAAAATACCAATATATATACAGCGCTACAAAAACAATATACCAGCAATAACTTTGCCCACACAGAGACATACAGACTGCACTGCCGATCAATGCAGTCTGATTGGGGGAACTCCGCTTTTACCCCAGGCTCACACTGGTGCGGGTGCCATTAAAAAGTTAATTACACCTGCAGTTTTGTTCACAGATCGCAGTGCGATCTGCGAACTAGCATAGGAATCTGATCGCATGGGGGAGAAAACCCATGCGATCCGATTCCACTGCAGGAAAAAAGAAGGCACATGTGCCTTTTTACTTCCGAATCTAATGCAAGTTCAGCCATACAAGCATATGGCTGAACTCGCACTGCTCAGAGATCGCAACAGTATGAACCGGGGCTTACACAACATACAACATATCACCTCATACAACTGAATAGCAATCAGAATATAAATGCACTTACCGTCATTTAAATTGGGTTTCCTACTCCTCGGCTGTCTGTCTCTGACCAGCACGGGAAAACAGCAGGCAGCCCCTCCAGAGATCAGAGATCACTCTGTTATTACGCCTCTATCATTTACTCAGCGGTGCGTGTGCTGGGGATCTACATCCCCAGCACACAGGAATATCACTGGGAGTGGAGCCGAGGGGCAAGTGAGGGAGCTGAGGGAGGGAGAGCCAGTCAAGCGTAGCCAGGGGAGGGCTGGCAGCCTTAGGCCTGGGGGGCAAGTCCAGTCAATTGGCCCATTGAACCATTCACCAGCGCAGCCCAATGAGTGCCCACCGCCGCAGCTCAATCAGTGCTCACCAGCGCAGCCAAATCAGTGCTCGTCACCGCAGCCCAATCAGTGCCCACCACCGCAGCCCAATGAGTGCTCACCAGCGCAGCCCAATTAGTGCTCACCAGCGCAGCCCAATTAGTGCTCACAAACGCAGCCCAATTAGTGACCATGGGCCGGATAAATGTCCTCGGCGGGCCGCATGTGGCCCGCGGGCCGTAGTTTGAGGACCCCTGGGTTAGATGGTGAAGATATGGCCGCATGGTTATGTGGGCTCACCCACAAACCAATTATGGAAAATAAATCGGTCTACAGATGAATGTACACGTGGGGTAGGCTGGAATGCACTTGTGTTCTCCCCCCGTTCTGCATGGGTTTCCTCTGGGTTCAGCAGCTTCTTCCCCGAAACTGAACCCACAACAACACAACTGGTCTTGGATCAAAATCGACCTCTAAAGCACTCAATTGGGATCACACACAGCAACTTTGTTCCCAACTGCGAACAAAACTTGGCAGGGCCCTCTTGAATATTTTGTCTTGAGACTCAATGATGTTCATTCTGCATAAACAAGCATAATAATAATGATGATACAAAATAATAAACACATACACAGGACACATGCAGATTTGCTTACCGTGGCTCAGTGGCTCCAGACTTTGCATCGTATTCTCCGGAGCCCTCTTCTCTGGATCTCAGCGCTATCCGGCCCTGCACACTGCGAGCAGCGGTGGTGGTAGCGGTGGTAATGGTGGTGCTGGTTGTGGCCGTGGCTGCCCCTTGATCATGGACCTCGGCCATGCCCTGAAGCCAGCTGTGTGCGAGCGCCTGAGTGGGAGTCATCCGAAGATTTGGATCCCATCTGTTGAGAGACACGCGGGGGCACACGTGGTGAGAGGCACGTTACAAGGATTTACGTTTCTTCCCTTCTTCCACGAGGTCCAGGAATTCTCACCAGCAGCGGGGAGTACTCCACTGCCCAGTAGCCTAAAAATGCACTTAGCCTGCCACTGCCCATCTTTCATGGGCCTCCACAGACACCGATCTTGACACTGCTGGTACAGGTCATCGGCAGGTTCACTCAGTTTCACATCCTCCTGTACCACATCAGTTCCACCTCTTGTGATATGGCTCAGCGGTGACGACGTGACCCAGACGTACCACATTCTCCACATGTAGAGTTTTGTTATTCAAATTTTGGACTTTCGGATCGGACGAAGAGGAAGAAAAAAATGGGGGCCTATGGGTGTCTCTAACGATTACTTGAAGGAGAGTGACTGATATGAGAATCCTTGTGGGGAGGTGTGGGAGAGGGGAATGGGCAGGCGGGAGGCTGTCTTACTGTATCTACTGTAGGCAAAAATGGACACAGTCCACCAACTCTGGGCCCAGGAGATGATGAATAAGAATGAGAGGGTGGAGCTGGTGATTGATGGAGTGTGATCACCAATAATTTGGAGGAGATTGAGTGATGGGGAATCCTCGTGGGGGGCAGCAGGGGGAAGAGGGAGAGGAGGCAGTTCTTACTGGAGGCAGCGGCTGATAAAGTCCACAAACTCCGTGTCCTGGCTCTTGAGCACAGAGTGTAGTGGGAAGCTCCCCGGCAGGCTGTATGGCTTCTTCCAACCACCTGCAGGGGCCATGCACAGCGGAAGAGAGAGATATACATAGTTACAAACCACATCACCCACCTACCCACTCACCCACCTACCCACCCACTCACCCACCTATCCACCCACCCACTCGCCAACCCACTCACCTAACCATCCCCCCATGGCCTACTCAACAACAATAACTGCCATTTGCCACTAAGTGGCAGTGACATCACCATGGTGCTTGTACCAGGCTATGTGCACTTTAAGGCCACCTGAAGTGTCAAAAGCTCACTGGCAGGAGGTCATGGGATAGACTCCGGTACCATGGGTTGACTGATTGAGATGACTGACTAGTAATTAAATTTAAGGTGGAGGGGTTACCAGCCTCTCGCAGCCATTGGCCTCAGTGGTGGCTACAAGCCCCATGAGGGGAATTGCATGTTGAAATTGACCTTCCCTCCCTTGGCATTGCTTACCACAGCGTTACCGACCGGCACCACCTTTGAGGTAGGGTGTTGTTTTGCAAATTAACCCCGCCACCCCCTCACCCCCCCCACCCACGCACACGCCTACCCATCCACCTACCCATCCACCTACCAACCCTTCTACTCAGAAAAAAACATCACTCCGTTGGAATTATGCAATAACAGCCCCAAGCCACCCCTTTTAACTTACCAAAGTATATCAATCCGTAAGGAGCGGCATGTATGAAGTTTCTTGGGGGCACACCCAGCCTCTGCACACGGTTCAGACAAAGACAGAGGTCAATCATAAAGCCTCAGTAGACTGTTGGGGCAAGTGCTGTAAGCAAGTAGCAGCATGTATTGAGGCTGGAACTGTGGCACACGAGGGCATGGTTGATCACAACGCCCCAGGTACGTCACACACCAAACTAGGTACTTATTTGAAGCGGAGTTGATCTAGGAGAGGCCTCGGGACCAGTTCTGATAATTGAACCTCAGGGCGGTACCCCAGGGTACCATAGTTCCCCGGCTCTCGCATAATGTCCGTGATGCAATCATTTTTAGTCTGGTGATGGTCGGCGATGCGGTAATCGATTCATCTCAACGAGCTGTACACAATGCACTCTTAAAAGTTTAATTTTTCGAAAACGGATTTTTTAATGCTAATATTTGGTGTTTCGACATCGCGGAGTAGCACTTCGCATTGATTGGTACCCCAGTCGCGGAGTTAAGTACACCCCTGGGAAAAAAGTGTCCCAGAAATAAAATATTTAATTGCCTCGGCCATTTTGTATTATTTGGTACCCTGGTGTACCACCATGAGGATCAATTGCTGCCACCGGTGCTGGTGGTGGCAGTGGCCATGAGTGGGAATCAAACTCGGCTCTCTGCCGGGGTTTGTAGCACAGTGCGGTGCGCTAACTACTGCACCACACATTCTATACACATAGGCAAAGACAAATATCCCCCACATAGCTTTAACATACTTTTGGTCACACACATAGACAAGACAAACACGTGTACACACATGTACAAGACAAAGATCCCCGGTATAACCTAAACAGACTTGGGGCAAGTGATGTTAGCGAGGAGCACATCTGAAGGCTGACACGCCACACGAGGGGGATGGGTGGCCAACACCACTCCTGGCCGCCTTTTTCTCCCTAGTGGTGATGTTTACATTGCACCAGGTACTCATTGGAGTCTGAGTCGACCTAGGGGAGGCCCAGGACCGGTTCAGATAATCGTCACGTGTTGGCTGAGAGCCAGAATAGAACTTGGGTCTCCAGGTTCGTAGCGCACCGTGTTAACCGCTACACTACCGTGTACACAGCCAGAGGTGGGACAAAGTCATTGTTATGCAAGTCACAAGTAAGTCTCAAGTCTTTGCTCTCGAGTCCCGAGTCAAGTCGGGTCAAAGATGAGGCAAGTCCCAAGTCGAGTCAGAAGTCAAAGCCTGCAAGTCTCAAGTCGAGTCCAAAGTCCTACCATTTTAGTTTCGAGTCATTTCAAGTCCTCTTACCACAGAAATAACATTTATACAAATCATGTATGTCTGTAAGATTTGTATTTATTTAAACCTCTTTTTATACAATGACATTAATCAAACACAGTAGAAAACAGAAAATTTAATTTTCACAAAAAATGCTCTTATTTCAACAGCATATTGCACTAGAACAATGCACAGCAGCTTCAGTCTTGTATTGCATTGACCTCATATTGCAAAACAGTTTAACTTTCAAATAGACATGGGTTCTTTTAGCCTAAACTTTTTTAAACATGTCATCAATAAAATCCTCACTCCTCAAAATTATCACTTCTGAAAAACTGGACCAACCTGATAATATAATTGGAATGCCTCCATAGAAACTGGTGTGTATGAGAGAGAGAGAGCTGTGTGGACAGGTGATGAGCAGAGAGTGAGTGTGTGTGCGCATGCGTGCTGTGGACAGGTGGAGGGAGGCCCCTACACTGCATTGCATTTGCAAAAGATCAAATTGGCCAAAAGTCTGTCAGTCATTTGTGCACGATGGGGACGCAGAATGATGCCACCATGGCTGAAAACTCGCTCCACTGGAGCACTAGAAGCAGGCACTGCCAAGACTCGGATGGCTACTTGAAAGAGTGAAGGAAGAGTCTTACTGTTCAGTGCCCAGAACAAAAGGACATTCTGTCCTTCTGCCATGTCAATGTAGTGACTTAGCTGTACTGCTGGTGGGGTCCCAACATCCCTTTTCTGCCTCTTATGGTATGCAGCAAACAGCCCTTCTCCTTCCATGTCCTCTAGTTCTTCTTCAGCAGGCACCGGCACAGGCACAGGTTGCTCCGTCTCTGCAGTATCTTTCAGGATCAATTCTAAAAAAACGTGTCACAACAGCAGAAACAAAAGAGCTCTTATTACCATTACTGATGTTGATGATTGTTTAACACGTAGGCTTTCGCGACCAATGTTATTCATAATCAACGTTTTTGGGTTTAGATCGCGTTTATTTATAAATGTGTCGTAACCCTCCACCACCCGACACGGCCAATCAGTAAAAATGTGTCACGTTGACAAAGACAAATAGTTCACTGCTTTAGCCCACCGGTGTGTTGAAGCCACAACATTTACAATTTGAGTACGACGTTTCGCTGGTAATTGCAACCAGCATCATCGGGCAATTCGCCAGAATGGTAAGGTTCTGCTGTGTCTCCCGTTCTTATATAGAGCAGCAGCAGGGTGACGTCATCATTAACTCATTAACTCATCAGGTGCAAAGATTCAAGGGGGGAGTGATTGTAATTATATACTAGATTAGTAATCAGGCTATTGTTACGATGCGAGTTGTAGATTAGTAATCATTTGGAATGTGTTTTATTGTGATTATGCTACATTAGTAATCAGTTAGTGGTTGTTACCCTTATAAGTAATTGTAATGTATCTTATTTAATAATACGCTTCCAGGCCGCACTAAGCCTGTAGCTGTCTGAGCGATTAAAGTTATTGCTGTTTCTCTCAATTTCAATCGATTCTCTAATTAGTCTTTGCCAGTAGTAACTAGTTTTACACAACACGTCCACGTTGTCAAAATCAATTGAGTGTCCCTGTTGGCATGCATGTTCTGCTACTGCCGACAGTTGTGTTTGTGATAGTTTAATATTTCTCTGGTGTTCTTTTAGTCTTACACTAACGTTACGCCCTGTCTGTCCAATATAGCATCTGCCACATACACAATTAATCCGATATACACCTTCTGTTGATAATTTAGGTAATTCGTCTTTAGTGCACGTTACTAGTTGTTGAATTTTGTGTACTGTACCAAATCTTACTGTAATGTTTTGCTTTTGCAAAACACGGGCTAATTTATCAGTTCAGTTACTCCTGAGATAAATGGTATTTTTATTGTTTTAATAATCTGATCGCTTTCAGCAGTGTTGCTTTGCGATCGTGATTTGGCTTTTAGTGCTCTGTTAATTTGAGCATTATTGTAGCCATTCTGTCTTAGTGCTTCTTTAACATGTTTAATCTCTCTCACTAGACTTTCACCATCTGACACTGTTTTAGCCCGATGTATGAGCGTCTTGATAAGAGAGGATTTCTGAGCTGGGTGATGATGCGAATCTGCATTCAGATAGCCAACGCACACTGATGCCTTTCTGTAAACGCTGTGTGTTATTTTACCGTTTGGGCCATGCCCAAGTAAAATATCCAGGAACGGGAGTGTGTTATTCACCTCCATTTCCATGGTGAACTGAATGGCCGGGTTTTGTGCATTGAGATGATTTAGAAAATTGTTAAGTGTATCTTTACCATGTGGCCAGACAACCAAAGTGTCATCCACATATCTAAACCAAAAGGATGGTTTTAATGTGCTCGAGGCAAGTGCTCTGGTTTCAAAGTTTTCCATGTACAAATTTGCTATAGCAGGAGATAAAGGAGAGCCCATTGCTGCTCCCTCCCTTTGTTTAAAGAATTCGCCTCTCCATAAGAAGTAAGTGTTATTTAAACAATGGTCTGCGAGTTTCGGAATATCTTTTGGTAAACCTGTATTCTTTACCAGTGTATCAAGTAATTTAAGCGACTCGCTCACTGGAACCTTAGTGAAAAGCGAAATCACATCAAAACTCACCAAAATATCATTAGGGTTAAGTTTAATATCTTTGATCATATTCACAAGATGTTCTGAATTTCTTATGAATGATGATGTCCTACCGATGTAAGGTTGAATTTGTTTAGTTACATATTTTGCTAATTTATAGGTGGCAGAGCCAATTGTACTGACTATAGGTCGTAAAGGGATGCCGACTTTATGGATCTTTGGTAGCCCATACAGTCTAGGTGGTTTTGAAGCCCTTGGCTTAATTAGGAATTGCTCATTATTTGGTATTAATGAATTTGCAATGATTGCAGTAGTCTTACGTTCCAAAGTATTAGTTGGATCTCGTTTAATTTTAATGTAGGTACTTTCCTCTAATAAATCTTTAATTTTATTATCATAATCGGCTCGTGACATCACTACTGTAGTGCGGCCCTTGTCAGCTGCTAGGATTTGAATATCTTTGTTTAGACGAAGCTCTCTTAAGGCTTTTGCCTCGTTCGAGCTGATATTTACTTTAGGTACTTTACTATTCTCAATAATTTTGGCAACCTCGTGTCTAGTCATCTCTGCCTCATTATGTGGAAGGAGTCTTACTGCTGATTCTACCTCAGCAATTATCTCATCCACTGGAATTGTGCGTGGGGTAACGGCAAAGTTAAGGCCTTTAGAGAGAATACAACACAACAGGAGTGAATTATCCAACATTTCTGAATCGCTAAAGCATTTACATTTAAATATAAGCAATAGTGTGTCCATGCATGATTGGAATATAATCGATACTATAACACAACAATCGGCTGATAATGTGTTTAATCTAACAAATGCTAACCAAATTAACAAATTTTCTAGACTTTACAATAAACAAATCCCTATTAAAAACGAACAATTTAAAAACAAAACCGTAATGAACTTGACTAACACTGATTTAACCACTGACATGATTTCTGTCCTTTGTAAAGGCCTTAACTTTGCCGTTACCCCACGCACAATTCCAGTGGATGAGATAATTGCTGAGGTAGAATCAGCAGTAAGACTCCTTCCACATAATGAGGCAGAGATGACTAGACACGAGGTTGCCAAAATTATTGAGAATAGTAAAGTACCTAAAGTAAATATCAGCTCGAACGAGGCAAAAGTCTTAAGAGAGCTTCGTCTAAACAAAGATATTCAAATCCTAGCAGCTGACAAGGGCCGCACTACAGTAGTGATGTCACGAGCCGATTATGATAATAAAATTAAAGATTTATTAGAGGAAAGTACCTACATTAAAATTAAACGAGATCCAACTAATACTTTGGAACGTAAGACTACTGCAATCATTGCAAATTCATTAATCCCAAATAATGAGCAATTCCTAATTAAGCCAAGGGCTTCAAAACCACCTAGACTGTATGGGCTACCAAAGATCCATAAAGTCGGCATCCCTTTACGACCTATAGT